TATAATTTCTGTTTCAACTTAGGGGTTAAGACTTGTACATGATCATGATAAATCAAAAGAGAATCCAAAGTAATTCCAAGAATGAATGAGTGATTAACAATCTTCTGAAGACCTCCTGTATAGCAGGGAAACAAGTAAAACATGCTGGATAGGGGTCCTTGAGGACCAGGGTTGGGAACCACTGGATTAATTGATGTTGTGGAATCTGTTTGTGTTTTTCCAAGCTGAGACAGCCTGCAGCCTCCTGTGTGTCTGTATTGTTGGGAGGGATAGTTACAAAAAGCTGAAATCTTTTAAATTCACTCTCTTTGCTGACCCCTGCAGAAGGGAGCAGCCAAAAATATATATATTTTTCCAAATATGCAGAGTCTCTCTAATTTATTGTAGAAAAATCCCTCCCACCTCTAACCGGACTGTCCCGATGACGTGCCTGATGCCAGACAGCATCAGTCCTTCAGATTTTACATGACGAGTCCTGAGGACAGCTGAGATTTAAATAAGTCTAAATGCTGGWTTATCTACTGATGGTGTGCTGACAAAAAAAGGTAAACATAGAAATCCAACCATGACCTTATCAGTGAACCATGACTGTTTTTAAACGTCTCGTTGTGTTTTTCTGTTCCTCTTCTGTGCACTTCCTGTTAGGAAATCAACTCCTCACAYGACACAAACCCTGTYTTTATCCAGACAGAGGAGCATTTCACTCACAACAAAGACTTTTTCTGTCTGYCCATGCTTCTGTTAGCAAACACAGCAGGTTCAGTGATTCTGTCCTCATGTTAGAACTGATTCAGTCACACATCAGGACRGTGCTGTTAAACTAATACTGATCACTAATACCAGGTTTAACCAATACATTTCTAATAAATAAATAATATTTAAGAAAATCTCTCCTACTGGTTTGTCTGTTTTATAATCTCCTCTTGTCACAGCAGAGGACTGACTCTGACTAAGGAAGAGAGAGAAAGGCACGTGGTTTACCTGGACACAACACAAATAACACAGTAAAGGTCTGTGCTGGTTCATTCAGGAGGTAGATGGGCCCAGACCCAACGCTGCTGTCCTCTGAAGCTGAAGCTGTTYGAATCTGATGGAGGTTTGAGGWAACACCCTGCATCTGTAGCTGAACTACGGGAACAATGACTGAGAACAGCAGTTCTGTTGGTGCTGCTCACCTGATCAACAGGTAGGAACAACACAACMCTAACTGCAGCTGTTTTCATGAGGCTGAAGAGTTTGCTGTGCCTGGCAGAAAGTCAKAAATCACCTGGCAGCAGGTTGACAAATATGCAGTGATCACTGTTTAATCCTGTTCTGTGCAAATGTTGACCAATCACAGCTCGTCTCACAGAAATATACCTCACTCTCACAAAAAAAGAAAAACTTCACTCAAATCATATGATAGTATGGATCAAAATACAATCATTTTAAACCATCAGTACAACAGTACATAAAAAATTATAGATGAAGTACATATAGAGTACATATGTAGTAATAAAACAGCTTACATAGCAACCCCCCCCCACCACCACCACCACCACCACCACCAAGCCTTGGGCAAGACACTTCAACCCTAATGCCTCTGATGTGTGTCATCAGTGTATGACTGTGATTAACACTGATTAGTCTCCACAGATGATTGTACGTTAGCTTTGTAGAGACCTAACACAGATTGTACATATAAATAAATCAGACAGTGTTAAAATTTCAGTGTTAACCTTTTGGGTGCTGATTTAACACCCCCCAGTGTTATTTTAACACATTCTGAGTAAACTGACACTCAGTGTTGATGTTAATTCAGTGTTGATTTCCTCAGTGTTGAATCAACACTGGACAGTGTTAAATAAGC